CAGTACTCACTACTCAATACTCATGAGTACTTTTAAATAGGCTACTCTTTTACTCTTACTCAAGTAGTTTTTTGGTAAAGTACTTTTACTCTACTCACACTACATTTTTGGAAGGTAATGGCACTTTTACTTGAGTATATTTTTTCAGTACTCTTTCCACCACTGGCGCTCATATACCATGACAGACGTTTGCTTTTGCATCTGTCGCTGGTGAAAGTCTGGATGGTCCCTTTGGTCTTTGGGACTGAGAACATGACTTCCATTTTTCCTAGAAACACGCTGAAATGTGGACTCATCTGACCACAGCACACATTCCCACTGTCTTTTTGACTATATGAGCTCTGGCCCAGAAAACCCATCACTGCATAGAATTGATGTATAGCTTTCTCCTAGAGTAACAGAGATTCGGGTTGCATTTGTTGATGCAGCGGCATACTATGTTAAGTGACAGCGGTTTTCTGAAGTACTCCTGAGCCAATGTGGCTATATCTAACCCTGCAGCATGACGGCTCACTCACATTTAACTGAGGTTTCCTGCCTTGCCCTACACAGACTGAGATTTCTCTGGATTCCCTAAATCTTTTCACAATATTATGTATGGTTGTTGTTGGTGAAATACCTAAATTCTTTGCGATTTTGCATTGAGAAATGTGATTTTTGATTTGCTTGACACTTCTCTCATTAAATTTGGCACAAAGTGATGAGCCATGATCCAGCTTTGCTTGCACAGACTAAGATGCTCCTTTTAACCCCAAACATGATCCCTTCACCTATTACCATTCACCTGCTTACTGGGAACTGTTTCAAAACAGATTAACTTGGATATTCTTTAACCTTTTCACTTTTATTTTGCCTCGGTCCCAACTTATTTAGAGTGTGTTGCAGGCATCAAAATCAAAATTTGCTTATATTTACAAAATACATTTAAGTTGGTCAGTGAAAACTTTGGAAATCCTTTCTTTGTACTTTTGTCAAAAAGTAAAAGAATGAATAAATCACAGATTCTTGATTTTATTGCATTTTACAAAATGTCCCAAGTTTTCTGGAATTGGGGTTGTAATTTACCTTATTCAAGAAATATACTGTCATTAAAATTTGTTCATTTTAAAAATACAGAAACAATAAATGATGTCCTTACAGTAACAATAAATGATGCTTTTACTTAACACATTATATTGACAATTTGAATCTAACCAACAAATGATCAACAAATGTCATTGTCAACAAATGAAAGTCTATTCATGATCATGTCAATTATTGTGCCTTTAGCGCCAACAATAGGGGTGTGTTTTACCCCAAATACCAAACATTTACATATTCTTAAGTTTTTTTATTATTATTATTATTAAACTGTTGATTTAATTACCTTGAACAAAACAAAGCTTGAAATAATTAAAAAGACATTTGTCTCAAAATATATTTGGTCATTTATTTTAATGATTCTCATTTGCTACATAAATCTATAAATCTAAACAAACAAAAACAAAAAAACATTAAATATTAGATCAACTTTGCCTTGCTGCTTGTGATCAAGTAAAGGATCAGCCAAATTTCCACCTACAGTACAACAGAGATATTTAGGCAGTTCTGCGGTGGGGTTTTGTGCCATCTAGTGGTTTAGGGGAAAATAGAATCAAATGCGCTCTTTTACCCCCAGAACTACAGTAACATCTGATTTCTCTCAACATGGGGACAGGAGAGCTGTCAATCAATAAATTGGAAAAAAAAGTAACTTGCGTTACTTATTTGAAAAAGTAACTCAGATATTCTCTTGTAAATTAAAAAGTAATGCGTTACTTTACTAGTTACTTGAAAAAAGTAATCTGATTACGTAATTACTTGTAATGCGTTACCCCAAACACTGGTTATACTACTATTCATTAATGTACCGTCAAGCACATAGGTTTAACCAACTATAAAACTTCAGTGTAATCATTATTTTAAGTGAAAGCATTTACCTTTCCATTCACAAAATGTCGATCCCAATGGTAGCTAGACATGACTCTGGTCACACCGTATGGATGAGCCAACATGAGCCCTGTAGCGATCTTATAAAGCCTGCAAAATTCACAATGTAAAACATACCACTCACAGTAGGAATAGTCATAGTTGGACAAAATATTTTACCTAGAGTCCCAGAATGTCAGAACAGAAGCTCCACCAGCGCCGTGGCCTCTCTGATTATCATGATTGTCCACAAACACCAAGCCTCTATCAGAAGGCATGAAACCCCAGCCCTCTCCCCAGTTCCTAAAACAAAACACTGTTTACAACTCTTTCAATAACCTTATTGAGCATGATTTTAGGCACAAGTGACACTTCCTTATTGATAATATCACATCAACTACAGTAAGTAGAAAATTGTAGATTAGCTTAACTTAAAAAAAACATCAGCATTGTTAGCCATTTTTGCAATACTATTGACCATTTATACAAAAATATATGACCGCTCAATACTGCAGAATGAAATTTTCCAGAGAGCTGTGTAATAATAATATAGGTTACTGCTGCGTACTTGAGATTGCTTAGCTTTCCTTTGTCCCATTTACGAACGACTGTGCCCAGTTTTGCACTGTATTTGAACTCTGTCACTCTTCCCAGTTCAAAATATTCACTGGCTTTAATGGGTTCCCCACCCAAGTCGATCACCTGAAGAAGAAAAAAAAAGGCATTCGTGTTAATGCTTTCAACAACAATTTTAGGTAACTGGTCTTGATGGGAAGGTGAGACCTCTTGATAAATGAAGGGCTTGGTGCCTGGAGAAAACCAAGTGGTATTGAGGGTCTTGAGTCTGCCGTAGACGTTTGTAAGGTCACCAGGCCACATGTGCTTACAAGCATCTACTCTGAATCCAGCCACACCCAGGTCGATCAGTTTGTTCAGATATTCAGCTACCTTTCCTCTAACATAGTCTTTCTCCAGCGCCAAATCCAGGAGACTCACCAAGCGACAATCCCTGACCTGTCAACATGAAATCAACAAGATGGATTCAACAACAAGAACATGTCATGAAGTGTTTACACAAAAGCGTTAAAAGCACTGCTGCAAACAAGAACCTGGAAAATCTCATTGTAGTTTTCAATCTCTTCATTGGCAGTTTTACATTTGTCATCATTGAAGTCCCATGATGAGTAGGGAACAGAAGGGAAGTCCTCCTTGTTGGCATTGAAGTATGATCCACAGCTGGAGTGAGTGCCCTCTCCACCAGCGGCTCCACACATGTGATTAATCACTGCATCCACGTATATGTTCACCTACAGGAAGGAAAAGTAGCACACAGGAGATGCTCCATAATTATTAAGCGTCTTTATTTTTAATGTCGTCATTTGGCTGTTTTGAGGTACGATACTATTAGCCTTAGTTTTGCATTACCCCAACATTATTACAGCGTGTGATCATGTCCTTCAGCTCTGCCTCAGTTCCTGATCTGGAGCACAAGTTGTAGCTGATCGGCTGATACCTCTGCCACCAAGGCTGCCAAGGATTGGACACTACAATACTCTCACTGGGGGGAGAGATCTATAAAATCAAAGACAACTGTTATTTTACAGTTGTATTTTTTTGCTTACATTTTGATAACACTTCATAATTCAAAACCTTCTGTACATATCTAATCTAAGCTCCGAAAGTTTCAAAACATCACATTTATCATCCTATTACTTACAAATAGTGCAGGCGCATTTGTGCAGGAATCATTAAGAATTGTAAACATACCTGAACTCCTCCATAGCCATTTGGTGCCAGGTATCTCTCACATTCTTCAGCTATATCTGCCCACCGCCACTCAAACAGATGAACAATAGAGGTCCTGTTATGTTTAGTGTTTGGGTTGTGCTGGGCAAGACACAGTCCAACAAGTGCAGCCACAATCAGGAGCTTCATTGTGCCTTTGTCCGGAGGAAAACAGTTTAGGGTGAGTGATCTCAGTGTCATAAACACCATCCAATGAATGCTGAAAAGCCATCTACAGATCAAGAGACTACCTTGCATGTAAAGTACTGTTGTTCGTGCAGTGATTGAACCAACTGGCAATCTTGAACCGACTCACAATGTTTAAACTGTAATCCGTTGGTAATAATTAATTTTTGTAAATGGTAAAGACAAATGTGTACTTACTAAGCATGTAATGTCTTTTGTTTCTCTAACACACACACACACACACACACAAACTTCACATGATAAATAACGTCCTTTTTATTTAAAATCTACTTGCTTCAAAAATAAGATTAAATTATTGCTGAAGAATCTCTTCTATTCAAAATCTTGTTACAAAGAAACAGTGCTTTCCACTATCTGCTGTTTATTTTTGTTTCGCAATATTAGTAGTTCTTGTCCTTGGCTTTTCTGAAATCATGCCAAACTGTCATCTATAAAACTGTGTGCTGCCAATAGCAGTTTACTGTCAGAACTGGTTATTTGTTACAACTGAGCAATTAAGTGAAATAGTGTATAATTTTTTTTATTTAGTGACATACTTCAGATAGCTTAGCTTCTCTCCATTCCATTTACGAACCACTGTGCACAATTTCGCACTGTGTTTGAATTCCGTCACTCTTGCAAGCCCATAGTACTCACTGGCTTTAATGGGCTCCCCACTCAAGTCAATAATCTATAAAAAGTTGTGTTAATGCTTTATTAACCAAATTTAAGTGAATGCTAAGTCTCCTTATTCAGAAGTTGATAACATAGAAAAGGGATGGTGAGACCTCTTGATAAATGAAGGGCTTGGTGCCAGATGGAAACCATTTGGTATTGAGGGTCTTGAGTCTGCCGTAGACGTTTGTAAGGTCACCAGGCCACATGTGCTTACAAGCATCTACTCTGAATCCAGCCACACCCAGGTCGATCAGTTTGTTCAGATATTCAGCTACCTTTCCTCTAACATAGTCTTTCTCCAGCGCCAAATCCAGGAGACTCACCAAGCGACAATCCCTGACCTGTCAACATGAAATCAACAAGATGGATTCAACAACAAGAACATGTCATGAAGTGTTTACACAAAAGCGTTAAAAGCACTACTGCAAACAAGAACCTGGAAAATCTCATTGTAGTTTTCAATCTCTTCATTGGCAGTTTTACATTTGTCATCATTGAAGTCCCATGATGAGTAGGGAACAGAAGGGAAGTCCTCTGTCAGAACTGGTTATTTGTTACAACTGAGCAATTAAGTGAAATAGTGTATAATTTTTTTTATTTAGTGTTTTATTATTTTTTTTTCATTGTAATTAATTTGTTTTTTAATGAATACATTTGGATTTTGAAGGTAGTTTTTCAAAATGTTATAATGTTTAAATTATATATATATAGAGAGAGAGAGAGAGAGAGAGAGAGAGATTAAAATGAATTGCCTGATTTGTAAAGGCTGTTCTATATGTTAATATGACTGATAATAGTCACAAATCAATAAAAAAAACCTTTATGTCTGTGCCGAATTCACTTGAAATATAATTGTAATTCTAATGTGCCATTTGCCATTGCCCACATTAAAATTTATATTTAAATTAAATATTAAAGAATTGCGATATAAATAGCAAAATTAAAAATGAAATGTATTAACAGGAATCGACGGATTTTTTTATTTATTAAATGCAATAAACATAGCAAATGATAGTTTAAATGTAATTTTACTTAAAGGGGTCATATGATGTTGCAAAAAAGAACATTATTTTGTGCACAGAGGTCAGCAAGGTGGAGGGAGAAGCATCCATCAATAACCGCAAAGGGAAGCTTATATTCTTCTATGAGTGGAATCTTAAGGCCGACTGGAGAGGTGAGGAAAATTATTTGGATCAGGGAATGAATATGGCCAATTAAATATTTAACTGAATCAGTTATTTTGTTTTGGTGGGACTTATAAAATGGCTTTATGAACTATTTACATGATTTGGGCTGTCTGTTTGTATAGGGACATCAAAATCAGGCATCATATACAAGGGGAATATTGAAGTTCCAAACCTTTCGGATGAAAATGACATGGACGACCTTGATGTAAGTTGCACAACTAATTTATATATTTTTACATGCTGTGGCATCACCAGACTAAAGGCTTTATGGAAGACTACTACTGTGCTGTGTACATTGTCAATTTATTTAAACACTATAGTATTGGAGAACCTAAAGCAGTGGTTCTCAAACGGGGGGCCGGGGCCCACCTGGAGGTGAGCAAACTTCCGAGGGGGCCTCAAAATGATTTAAAAGGATTTACATAAGATAAAACAACTAAAATTCAAGATGTTTCTTATTTTAATTATTTTTTTGTCTTAACTGTTATTACTGAATATTGAATAACTGTTATTTCCACAGTGTTGGAATCCTGGATATATGAGGAAGCATCATTTTAAGTGTGACATCTTATAACTTTACCTCTTGAGTATTTTTATAACGAATATACGTGTTTCTAGTTATGCCAAGCTCTAAAATGTTTTATCGGGTAGAAATTATGAATAGTTTTCTTTAAAACCTTATCCAGTAAATCACAAACAACTGGAAAAGTCATGGAGCCTTTGCCTTGGAGACAAAAAGGTATAAGAACCACTGATCTAAAGTATCTAGAACAGAAGTGATTTGTTTGTTAGATGTGATTAGTTCAATAGCCATGCTATTGTAATGATATTGAGTCTGGGTATTTTTTGGGGTCATTCGCAGATCAGTGTGAGTCTTTGTAAAGATGAGCCTGAGACAGCGCTGCTTTCTCTGATGAGGAGTGAGGGAGCCAAAAAAATCCGCACAGTGCTAGCCAGCTACGTGGACTTCCTCAAAACAGGTAAATCTCACTGAGACGCCAAAACCGGCACATCTTTTTTCTTTTTTTCCCCCAAATAAAGCCAAGGTAACACTCATTTTACATACTGCATGCAATGAAAATGACATGAATATGACAGCGGGCAAATGCATAAAGTGCAGCATAATTTGAAATCACTAGTTTAAAGTTTGTCGATCGCGCGTTTCCAGTCAAGCAGAACTCTCCTCCTGTCAGCATTCAATTTACACGGACCGACCATCACCCAGAGAACACTCGATCATGCAGGATACAAATGCACACTTCAACTAGATTCGACTAAGTCTGCAAGTTTTGTGAAATTAAATGTTCATTAGTCATTCAAAGATTTGTTTAAATTATATAAATGCGTATTTGCTGAATGCTGATGGCAAATGAGAAAGTATTATAATGTTTGCCTTTCTATTACTAATAATATTAAAGCAATCGTTATAATACTTTTTGTATAAATTTTAATTCCTTTGTTTAACAGTTCTATCTGATTATTAGATAGACTTCTATCCATATTAGACAGAACTGAACGACGACACTGCTCACATTCTCCCTCTTGTTCGCTATAAAAATAAAAGTCAGCCGCGCCGTCAAAATAAAAGTCACGCCTCGAACACATCGGCCAACCAGAAAAACTTATCGGCCGATATTTGAAAAATACCAAATATCGGTCGACCACTACATAAGAGTTTTAGAAGCATTGCTGCTACTACATTGTCTGTTGGATGCGGAATGTTATTATCTGTTATTTTCTGTTGTAGAGTTCACACAGGGCATGATCCTGCCAACAGCCAATGGTGTGACAAAACAGCAGACAGCACAGGCAACAACCAAGTCAAACAAAACTCAGGTGAGCTATAAATTATACTTCTAAATGCTACTATGAATAAATCAATTTGTTTGTTATCCAGTGGCCCTAAAGATATTTGAATACTTACGCCACATGGATGTGTTTGTTTTAAATACGTAATATCAAAGCATGAAGCATCTGCAAACAAGTGATGCCAGACCTTTTCTCTGAACCCTTTTAATGTCATTTTTAAATTTACTTCTAACCAATTGATTGACATTAGTTGATGTAATTTTTGGTAACTCTAATTTTGAACATTAAAGGTATAGTTCACCCAAAAATGAAAATGTGATGTTTATCTGCTTACCCCCAGGGCATCCAAGATGTAGGTGACTTTGTTTCTTCAGTAGAACACATATGATGATTTTTAACTCCAACCGTTGCAGTCTATCAGTCGTATAATGCATGGCAATGGTAACAAAATCTATTATAGTAAAAAAAACATGCACAGACAAATCCAAATTAAACCATGCGGCTCGTGACGACACATTGATGTCCTAAGACACGAAACGATCGGTTTGTGCCAGAAACCGAACAGTATTTATATCATTTTTTTTACCTCTAATACACCACTATGTCCAACTGTCTTTGGGCGCGCACGGCATCCGGTGCGTGAGGTGTTTCAGGGGGGGCCGGTGCCACCCCTGGCCACCACGTAGACACGCCCCTGGTGAGACGGGTGTTGTAAATGTCCTGGAGGGAGGGGAGAGAGGCACCAACGATCTTCTCAGCTGCTCTCACTATGCGCTGAAGTGTCTTGCGGCAGGATGCGTTGCAGGCACCATACCACACAGTGATGCAGCTCGTCAGAATACTCTCGATGGTGCCTCTGTAGAAGGTGCACATGATGGGGGCCGGGGCTCTGGCTCTTCTCAGTTTGCGGGGGAAGTAGAGACGACTTCTTTGGGAATGGAATGATGGTGGTAGCTTTGAAGCATGTGGGGACAACAGCCTGGCTTAGCGAGATGTTGAAAATGTCTGTGCACTGTGTAATGTAATCTTTTAGTTTTGTTTGTGCACTGTGTAAACAATGAGTGACGTATACGCGCGAGAGATCACTTCCAGTGCTTGCGTAAACTACTCCAGAGTGCGTACACACCTCACGCACCGGATGCTGTGTGCGCGCCCAAAGACAGTTGGACATAGTGGTGTATTAGACGTAAAAATTTATATAAATACTGTTCGGTTTCTGGCACAAACCGATCGTTTCGTGTCTTAGGACATCAATGTGTCGTCACGAGCCGCAGGGTTTAATTTGGATTTGTCTGTGCATGTTTTTTTTACTCTCATAGATTGTTACCATTGCCATGCATTATACGACTGATAGACTGCAGCGGCTGGAGTTAAAAATCATCATATGTGTTCTACTGAAGAAATAAAGTCACCTACATCTTGGATGCCCTGGGGGTAAGCAGATAAACACCAAATTTTCATTTTGGGGTGAACTATCCCTTTAAATCTTTTGTTATCATTACCAATGCTGTCTTTGTACTGTCTTTCATTAAAATAAATGGCATTTGCTTTGATATTTTGTTATATTCTGTTGTATAACGCAATGTGAAAATGTATTTTAGGACATTTAAGTGTCTAGATATGTTTTAGAGCCACTGTTTTTTGTCATTAGTAACCCTTTGAAATAATCAATAATTCTTTTTTGGAAAAGTGTGTGAAAAATTGTGACCGGTGGGATAATGTGTATACTGAATTAACATATTTCTGCAGTCTTCAAAATTCTTATATATCTCAGCCCAGCTATTTTAAACTCTGTTTCATCACATTCTAGGGTTACTATTATGCATAAAAATCCGTATATACAAACAACACTGATAGGAATATAAGACGAAAAAATACAACACATTTCAAAATTGTTACTTTAGTGTAGCATATTTCATAAAATTTTTATATTAGTGCTACCAGTATTACAACTAGGGCTGTCAAAATGGCTGAAAAACTAAATTCGAATTTTGTACTTAAATATTATCAAAATTCGAATTCGATAACATGACTATCTGTGAAAAAAGGGCATAATGTTTAAAATAATGTTTATAAACCAATTATAATTAAGTTGCTTAAACAACTATAAACAAAACAGCATCATGTATGCATGCATAGTTTAATACAAAGGGCCGACAGCCAATCACACAGAGTACATTTTTCATTTAAAAGCACGAGTTGCAGTGGGATGGGGAAAAACCCACCATAAATTCTCGTGTTACATCCCCTTTTTGTCTAGGGGTGACAGGGGAGTAACATATGCTACTAAAGAGGAATGAAAACGTGTCATTGAACGTAGAAACCAATGGGCAAAAAAAAAGTGAGAGAGTTGGCTCTATCTGCAATCCCAGCACTCACACACATAGAACTCTTCAAGATTTTATTTACAATGTAAAGTCTTTGTACAGCAGTTAGAGGGAAGGGGAAAAACAAGGGTAAACGGTATGGATAATTTAAAAAGAAAAGATAAGACGCTTATAGCTTCAGGAGGGGGTTAAGGCCAAAATAACAAACAAAAAGAGGATGCTACCCGGGAGTAAGGGAATCTAACTTACCTATCAAACAAAACATCAAAATAAACAACCGGTCTCTTCCTTGACTTCCTCACTGTCCCAACAAAACCAGGAGAAAAGCAAGTGTTGATAAAATAAAAGTGGCACCCACCTCCTTACTGCGTCTGCAGGCAAAAATAACACACAATCACTACAGCCAGTACAACAGGCTTTCTTGAAGCACTAAGGCTCTGAGCACACAATATTCAACAAGTACAATAGACTTTCTTAAAGAAGCATTAGAGCTCAGAGCACACAATCTTCAAAGAGATCTGGGAAAACAGACAGGCCAAGCTCTCTCTGGTGAACA